TCTTACGCTTATGAAATTTATTAAATGAGGCAAGTGAAGCGTGGAGTGCTTCAGATGTTGTTCTTGGTTTGGTTTGTCTTGGTTAATGTGACCTCCTCCATGAATGAATGATGTGATCTTTAAAGTAATATTCTTAGGCTTTGATTAGCTTTTTAAACCCTTTTATAGACGAGATGTATTTCTTATCTGTTCTGGAATATTTCAGTTCCTGTCTTGAGGCTTTTGGCTAACCAGGGGCCTAATCTTCAAAAAGTTTGCATGTATTAAAATATGCACATTTCTTTCCACATGCTAATCTGATCTTCAAGCATTTTATGCATTTGAAACATCTGCCAGCATCCATCTATCCATCCATTTTCCGTCACGTCTATTCCAAGTGGGGTCGCGAGGGGTGCTGGTTCCTATCTCCAGCTGTCTAATGGTAAGAGGCGGGGTCAGGTCGCTAGTCCATCGCAGGGCAACACAGAGACTAACAGGACAAAAAACCATTCACACCCAAACTCACTCCAAAGGAGTATTTAGAGAAGCCAATTAACCTAACAGTCATGTTTTTAGACTGTGGGAGGAAGCCGGAGTACCCGGAGAGAACCCATGCATGCTCAGGGAGAACATGCAAACTCCATGCAGAAAGACCCCGAGCTGGGAATCAAACCTGGAATCTTCTTGCTGCAAGGCAGCAGTGCAACCCACTGTGCCTCTGAGCAGACATCAGCGGGCAGTAGTACGTGATCCCTATTAAACATGCAGATCTTATTCTGGTGACCCAAACCCCCAAAGTTAGGGGTGGAGGTTGTGCTGGGAAATAAATCAGTATAAATATATATTGTGATCAATATATATATCGATGTAAAATACATGTGATTAAAATATATGCATGTTATTCTGGCGGATACAACCTCATAGCCAAACTAAAACAAGTTGCCGGCCTGATACAGTTTTAAGGGTTACATTTACAATTGAATAGAAGTAACTTGCAGTTAAGTGTCAGGCCTTTTCCTCTGGTGCAGATACTGAATAGTAAAAAAAACTCTTATTAATAGTTAATCGACTGATATGAAAGGCTGATATTGTGAGATATTTACATTGCATATTGCTCAGCCCCAGATGGAAGACATGCAAAACAAACAATTTACCAGCAGCGAGATGATTTGTAAACCCCAAAAGTGACTGCAGGTGCTGTTTTTGCTTCAGTTTTTCTGTACAATTACCAGTGACTAAATCAAAATCAAACACAGACATTTTACCATTCATGTTGGCCAAAAAGGAGGCATTGGCACAATGGAAGTTGATTAACCTATGCGAGAACCTATGCACAGGTGTACACACACACACACACACACACACACACACACACACACTGCTTGGCGCAAAAAAGGTGGCAACCTGGATTTAACTCAGAATATAGGTACGAGCCTTCATTAGATAATTCCTGCATCAGTGAATATATTTTAACTGGCAACAATTTAATTCCGAACTGGTTCTCTTTTTTTTTTTTTTGGAACCCTTACATCAAATGACACGTCCCACTGTTTTAGAAAAGATGTCAATTTCTTTCATAAGGTTCAAGTCTTTGGAATGGATCAAGCAGAGAAAACATCTAAGCAGATTGCAGAAACTACTAAAATTTGATAAAGTGTAAAAATAGCGGGGACTCATTGTCTTCAAAGACAAAATGTGGTCGGAAAATTTTTTTTCGAAATGACGGTCATTGACCATCCCTTAAATGTTTGCTGAAATCCAATCAAAGAAAAACAACGGTAGAACTTCAGCGGTTCATTTTACAAAGCAGGTTTACTGAAAACTCTTTAAGTTTTTAAAATCTGAAATCAGAGAAACTGAGTTTTTGATTTGGAAAAGAGGTTTTCTCAACCTCCGTTTCTGTTGCCATAGTAACTTTTTCTTTCCTGAAGGCATAAGCTTTTTCCGAGGTTAAAATTTAAGGATCCATCATGGCTTGAATTTCGAGAGTCGTTTAGGGAGCATGAAGCATCATTTTCATACGTGGATTAGAAACAGCAGAGTCCAGAACTTAACCCCACTGAGACTCTCTGGCATTGCTGGAGAAGGTATTGCGCAGTGGTCAGACTCTGCAACCATCAATGCAAGATCTTATTGAAAAATCAATGCCATACTGAGTGGAAATAAATCATGTAACTTTGCAGAAGCTTATCAAAACATTGCCACAGTGAATGTGTCGAACTACCCCTCAGAGTTCTCCCCTCTGACAATAATAAAGTTTGGCTGTGGGCTGCATAATTGAACTAAAACAACTTTAGCAAAAGACAATAATTCTGTTTTCACAGGTGGAAATTGGTTTTCAGAATTTTTTTAGTCTCATTAAATTTAAATAAACATTCAAGTGTGACAAAGGCAGGGATGTAAGAGATGTAACGGGGGAAAATTGTTCTTAAAATCCATGAAAATCCTAACAGCATAGTAATCATGGCAGCTTTTTTCATTGCAAATAGCAGTCTTGCGGTAGAATAACTTTTTGGATGCCATTTAATAAGTTATTTAGCTTTTATCTCACCTCTGAGGCGCTGCCAAGAAATAGCTGTATTTGCATCACGGTAAATGCTCTCAATTTAAAGGTCCTTTTAAAAAAAAAAAAAAAAGCTCTTGCATTTTAAGATATTAAATGTTTCTGTTAGTACTCTTAAAGCTATTTAGAGTAAACATGTTACTTTTTGTGTGAAAAGTCGGTTGCAAAAGTTAGTTTGTCGTGATAAGTTATTTTGCTTGAATACTGTTGTGAACGTCTCTCTTTTTGGACACAGTCTGCTAGATAAAAGTGTCTGTGTGCCAAGCGTCTTCATCTTTTCTTTGTCTCAATAAAACCTATTACGCCCTCACATCATGTTCTGTTTCAATTGAATGGAACTCATTAACAAATTAGAGGCTAATAAAGCCTTTCATGTTCTAACAGGGTGGCCACGACTCAACCATCTCATCTGTGCACAGATTGCATTGGCTAAGAAAAAAAGAATTAATTTAGTTGGCATTATAAAAAGTATTATTTTTACCTAATATAGATGAGAAAATATGCCCATGAGACCCTTTATTGTTGAAACAGATTGTTTATATGTTCTAATTTGTGCTCAAGTTTTGATTTTATCTCCAAAATCGTACTAAAAGAAATCAATACTCTAGAACTGATTATATTTTTGCCACATTCTTGTATGAAAGCACACTCTTTTGTTCTCTGTAAGCAATCAATAGAGGTTTAGTACCTTAGCAATTTATGGACAATTGTTATTGGTTTTACATAAAATACAAATTTCTTTTATCTATTTGTGTATCCTTATGTTAACTGAAGATATCTTATGTTGGTTTATTTATCATCATTCATCAATTCATATCCATTCATTTTTAATGATTTTCAATTGTGGTATTCCTCAAGGCTGTATTTTAGGTCCCAGTTGCGTTTTTAGGGTTTATGTTTAGAATATTATATTATTGTTGTTGATTGTTTTTATTTATTCTGACCTCAAACAAAGATAGTATGGATGTCTTTCTTTTTTTTTTTCTTCTTCTCAAACTCTTGAGATCAGTAAGATTAAAGGTTCCCTTTGATTTAAACGACCTTCAAACATTTGCCATCATGTTATGGGTCTTTTTAAAACTCATGACACAGAGTCTTTAGAAAGAAACTTCTTTGACCGTTTTTTTCTATTATAACCTCTAGCCTATGTGATGCCTAATATCATCACCAAAATAAAAAATATACACTTCTGTTT